CCGGTGCCTCCTGTCGTGGCCACCACTACCTTCACCTCTATCTTCACCTTCCGCCCCAGTCTGCTTCCCAGGCCACTGCGCTGGCGTCAGGACATCATCCGAATCCGACGCAGCAGCCCTCTTCCTCGTGACGATCCCATCCTCCATAACTTGGTTTGGGGATGCCTCACGATGAACCTCTACATCCACCACACAATGGTTCATTGATCCTGGTGACACCTCCGCCTCCTCAGGCGGCGACAAAGTCTTCAACACCTCAGCCAATTCCTCCTCTGTTTCTAACACTTTCTCCTGTACTTTCTGCTCATCATTTTCCACTGGAAGAGTCTGGGCCAGTTGACTAGTTGAGGGCCTCATCCACTATCTCATTCCATAGACGACCACGCCCTCCCTCAGGTGGTTGATTCCCACCTGCCACCACTGAAGCAGGAGCAGCCGCCTCCGCCTCTGGACCAGGCGCTCGTATCTGCTTCCCACATGTTGCTGCTATGTGATCATACTCCCCACATAGGCGACACGTACGTCTTTGCCCGGCATACGAAACCATGACCTGTGTCCTAAATTCCTGTAGAAACGCATAGGACGGTATGGGGTGTCACAGTCATTTTCAGGTTAAAAGTACCTTCCAGCAGACCCACAGACTCCCGTCACCCACGTACCATACTGGGCCAAGTGAACTGTCCCATGTTTCTCGAAAACTCTTCTTATATCTTCCTCATCCGCCTCAAAGGGAACGTTGCACAGCTTGATCCATGTATAATACCTGGATACGTCAATCATTCTCACACGAACAGCTGGCATAGCGTCGAGACTCGCATCCTGAAAACAACTGACCAACGATTTATAGATCGTTGCTGTGAGCAATTTCACAAAAAAAATCTATGGGCTCCATTTAAAGCTACCCCATATAACTCTCCATCCTGATTGCCGTACGTGTCTCTGATGATCTTGGGTAGTAAGTCTTTTGCTGAAATAGGCGAAACTGCCCCTTGGAGAAGCTCAATACCAACAGTATTGATCCGGCATCTATGACTGAACGCCATGTTGACAAAAGGTAATTCTCCTATTTTGTCAGCAGAGGCGCAAACACCACCTCACACAACCGCAGTCAGGCAACTGAGGAGCGTCTGCGCAGTAGATACTCTCGGCCCGGAAGCGAAGAGGACAATGTCATAGGGTGATTGGTCGGTTAAGTTGTATGGATATGTTCCGTTAATATCTGGTTTTGGGTAAACAGGTACGGTCGTCGGTAGCACGGCTGGAATAGATGCAAGATTGATGCTAAACATAACATTGCATGTAGGGAAATTGTTCAGGGGCTTTGCACCTGTAGAGGCATGGATTGTTTTTGTAATATGTCTCGTAGTCATGCAGAAAGGGGTGAGGCGATGCGCCGGACATTTTAGGAGTGTTGTGACTGCCTTTTAATCTATGCTGAAACGTCTTTGGTGAGAGGTAGATTCCCTGTTATTTGATACTACAGGATGTGTACTTGTAATGTATATAATGTATATAATTTTCAGTAGGTATACTTCATGGTTTATTGTGACAACACTGGCTAGGACTGGTTTCTATACGGCCTATATGTACTTTTGTACATTTATGTGCGTGTGTCTACAGTATGTTGTGACAAAGGAATATAGTAGTGTGTAGGATGTTCGGGTAATTGGTGGGGAAGGGGTAGTGTATAGAGTTCTGCTATTGTTCGTAACATTTAATTTTCACGAGGATGCAGCATTACTGTATAGGGTAGGGCAATGTTAGATTTTATATTTTTTTCTATATTTGTTAACATGTGAAGATCCATGTATACTGTGCCCTTGGGGCTTAGCGCTTCTTTTTGATATGTATACTGTATATGGTGTTTAAAAAAAACTTCTGCATCCTCTGTACTTAACTGAATCCTACTGTGTAGGTAACTAATCCGAAACATTTCGCCTAGCTGTTGCACTGTACTGTATACCATTATTCATTCTTTATATTGGAGCTTATAAAGGTAGTGGCGAAAAGTCTCCACAGTGAAGATACCCAAGTGTTTCACACGTGTAATTTATTATTGTCGCTTCACTGAACCATTTATATTATCTAGCCTTTTTCGGCTTTAGTGAAAGGCCTACGGCAAGGTTGCATACTTACTCCTGCTGGATATTACAGGTCTTTCCTTTGCTCTAACATCTGGTCATCCTTAGGTAATGCAACATACCCCCCAGTGCAAAGTAGGGGCGCCATTTGTACAATAAGAAAATGTGTCCGGGGGCCCTAGACTGTTCAAGAGCCTCCCTCCATCCGTTAGGGGCCTTACCAATAGACCCCTGGTTGTCTTCAAGAGGGAGCTAGACATATCTAAGGTCTGTGCCGGATCAGCCGGGCTGTGGTTCGTACGTTTGACTACGTGCGGCCAGCAGTAACGGCCTCGTTGATCAGACCCTGATCCACCAGGCTGCCTGGTCGTGGACCGGGCCGCGAGGGCGTTGATCCCCGGATTGCCCTCAGACTTCAGGTAGTGCTACACTACCTGAAGGGAGGATTTGGAAGCCAGACTAAATTCTGGAAGTGGAGCGCAGATACAATACCCTAGATCAAGAGCCCCTCACCAGCATCAAGCAACATCCCTTGAGGGGATCCTTAGGTACAGAATATTTTGCTATTGTGCAGGTCTGGATTGCACACTTAGGTTAAACCCGCATGGGTATGTGCTAGTGTAAAGAAATTACTAAATCTTACTTTCGTTGTAACTGCCCCTTGAGTCGCTTCATACACTCGAGATGCGGGTAACATTCTTCCACGATCATACATACCTATTATTATTCAAGTTTCCCTATTTCCTAGCACCCCATTTTAAACAATTCACTACCAGGGATTATGGTCATCTCAGGTCTGTTCTTCCGCAAGTAATTTTATCCAGCAGAATGTTCCTGAACAGGATAGATACTATGCCCATTCTGCCTTTTTGTTCTTAGAGTACCTCTATCCTCAGCAATCATGGATGCTAGCATATATTTAATTGCTGATTATGTTAAACCTAATTTACTTCATTCATCATGTAGTCTTTCCCAGTGAAGTTTCAAAGATTCAAATTAGTATCTTAAAAGCAGCGCTTCCTTTACAAGCAAAGCAAGTGGACAATTTTTCTTAGCTCCTGTTTCTGCGTCGGGGCACACGCAGAATTCAGTAACCAGAGGAAATTTTTATAACTGCCTTTTACTTCAACATGTCTAAATTATATTCCTTCGAAGTTAAACCGTAGCAACACGTTTCTAGCAAAAATTACTTTCTCACTAGACAGGAATAAACCCTCTGTTCTAGTCGTGATCTGACCTCTTATGGAGTTCTTTCCAAGGCTGTCCTAGAGACAACTGTAAAAGCCATACCATGGGCGGGTATAAAACCCGCGACAAGTCAAAACTCCAGACAGGCCTCATCCACTGTGCCAGCTAGTTACCAACCTGCACTTGTGGTCTGCAATTGTTGTCTACTAACCTTACCATGGTGTATAAATACCTAGTTGGACGAATATTTTTTGTAGTCAGCTGGCCTAGTGGCCAGCGCGTCGGTATGGAGTTCCACGACTGTTCGCGGGTTGCATTCCCCACTATGATTTGTTTGCAATCTTATTATGATTCGAGTAATCTAGAAGTGCTAATTTGTTACTGTTAACCGAGCCCGTTAGGTTCCTGGCTTTAAGCACAACCAGCTAGTCAGAGCATATCTAGCAATTTAATCTAGTCAGATTCTTAGTGTCTAATTTATAAAGTTCCTCACTGGTATCGAGGGACTTAAAAAATTTCTAAAGACTATTGCTGTCTGGTGTGGAGAAACCGTTAATGTTTAACAATTTATTACCTATGCCACAGGACGCCCAGCTGTTAATATCTTGCGAGCCGAGCATGCAAGACTAGCCTTACCAATGTTTTAATCAAAGCCCTAAATTCCCAAGGGTCAGAGCGTCTGGGAATGCAATGTTAGTCTAATTCATCATCTCGTTAAAGGGATTATCCCCCCTACAATTTTAACCAAATTTAACTGAATTAGACCTTTATCCATGGAATTTCGTATTACCCGTGGACAGGCTTCACTATCGCGAAAGGGTATAAACCGGCATCATCCACCTCTGGAAGTTACGCAAGCCAGTGCTACCGCTTGAAGTATTTGGACTACGTATTAAAAGCAGAGAAAATTTTTTAGGAGACAGGAAGGTTTCCCCAAATTAGGGAGGCCTGCCCAGTTTGACTTATTGAAGGAATGTCATGGGTTAAGTGAAACCGGTAGGATTATACAGCGCCTGTGGGAGGGGGATTAATGGGAAGTTTAAGTACAATTCAGGGGACTAGAGTAGATTCAGTTTCTTAGAGCATGATCCCCTCACCAGCGTCAAGGAACCTCTCGAGAGGAACTTATAAGACTAACTGCAGGTTAGCTTTTAACAAGTAGAAGGTACATATATACGCAAATTTAATGCGGTTTAGCATCTTAACATCTATACTTTAAACAGTTTCATGTTGTACTTTGATGCTAGAAGCTTGTACCCAGCACTATGCCGACTGGAAACTGCAAAAGTATTTTACGCATTCCCATACATGAAAGGAATACTTTAAGATCCTAACCATGGCAATTTAAACTTTTAGTGTTAGAGCCTAGGCATAGCCAACGATTGGATTATAAACCTGAATATGTTCTGAAGTGGTTTCGTTAGTAGCTTACCGTACATTAAGATAAAGAATTTTTGCTTAAAGTTTCTGCAACTAAAGGTTTAGAAGGCTGGAGAGGGAGAATCTATAATTTTCCTAGGCGTTTCAGCCTTCGTTGTTAGTGTACAGGAGAACTTTAATAAAGCTGCACAACCAAGACTTAATTTGGTTTAAGAAGCTAACTCAAGTTTTGCCAAGTTTGTCTTTAGCACGTACAAAGGCAGAGATTGACTAAAAGTTCTGAAATTGATAAAAGTTACACTGAAGTAGGTATTGGGATGCGGTCAATAAGGAATGCATGTATACAAGCTATTGAAGTAAAGCATTTATTAAGACATTAAGTTAACCGGATAGGAAAGTAGGCAATTAAAAATAAAGTAACCCATAAACTAGAAACGAGTGCCGTAATTGCCGCCGACGTAAACAGTGTCCGCTACGGTGCGATATTCAGTGAAGGTTGTGCTTGCAGTGCGTAAGTTTGTTCTTACCAGTGTAGAAGTGTAGGTTAACCTAGAAAAAAAAAATAGTAAGTAGTTATAGTCCAAATAGTTATACACTATTCAGTAATTAATTTAAAGAAGAGTTTCTTACACTTGAGTGGCAGTCGTGGTGTACGTATATTGACTGATGATGTAAGATGTATGGGTGATCGTCACGTGGTCAACCGAGACTTCTGTCACCACCCTGAAGTCAGACTTCACCTCAGTCATTGTCACTGATGTCGGTCTTAAGACTACAGTGGTCTGGAGGGCAACGCGTTCGTCCACTGGTGTGGCTACAACCTGGAAGTGTACAAAGTTTAAGTACATGAACGAAGATTTAATATAGACTAAGAGTCCACGAATATCAACTTACCACGCGAGTGCCAGCAGTGACAGTCTGCACGTTGAATGAAGTGAGGGTGACTGCCACGCTGTTGAAAGCCAGGTCAGTGAGGGTTACGAAGCGGTCGATCGTCACAATCTGGGTTACTGTTGGGGTGATTAAGAAGTTCACCCTGTTGATTTGACCAGCCACAGACGCTCTGGGAACATTAATCTGGCCGAATGTGACGCCAGCACCTGGACCACTTACGACCCGACTGGAAGAATCGCCACTTGTGAAGGCTGATCCTCTGCCAGCACCAACTTGAAGGTTTAAACTACCTAGATCATTGATAGGGCCACCGACTCTACTGGATGATTCCCCTATTTGAGCATCCCCAATGTTAACAGCGATGCCTCCTGAAGGGGAAACATTACCGGTGGAAGTGGCAAAGCTACTTGTTGCACCCAGGCCAATTTGGCCGAATCTGTTCGATGTTAGCTCAGGCCGACTAGAAGAATGATCGTTGATACCAAGTTGTATGCCAGGGGCGATCAATTCATCATTTGATATGCCACCGTGAAGGAAATTTCCAGAAGCACTTATTGGAGTAAAACGGTTAATGGAATTAAGGTTGTTCCTGTTGGATTGATGAACTTGGGTTCTTGGAATGTTGACTCCACGGCCATCAATGGGTAATCCAGTACTGGAGGTAGATAGGTGGGCTGTTGGGAGGAAGAGATGTTTTATATACACAAGATGAGGATTTAGTGAGAGTAGGTATGAAATAACTCGTTCAGCCTAAAGTAGCATTAGTTTAAAAGCGACGCAGGAGGGACTTATAAAACCTGTTTTGTGAAACTGCAGTAATTGCTCTAATAATTAGGGTAGAAGACATGCCTACTTAAAGTAGGTTTTAACTACGGTGCAAAAGTTAAAGGAATATACATGAAGGAATAATATATAATATATATATAATATATATACATACATACACACAACTAAAAAGGAAAATATAAAAGCATACTTGCGGCAAGATTTCTCGAGCCCATGTTGAGCATAAGCTCAGTACAAGCACAAAAACCGTTGAGAGACCCGTCTGAAAGTAGAAGAAAAAAAAATTAAAAACGGTGACGGACATTGAATTAATAGTAGATTTCTCAAAACGTATAATAAAATTGAAACAACAAACCACACTCATGGTAAGAAGCGAGACACCAAAGAGATGATTACGTTAGGAAGGTCGTGAGTAAACTGACTACCACACTGCTCCTCCCTCACCTCAACACCTCCCTTACTGACTCGCCTATTAAATCCCCCCTTACACCCCCCCCCTCTAATCGTGCCCTGTTAACCTTTATCTCAATAGCTTCCTTGTAACAGAATATATACACCGAGAAGTTTATATCTATCGGTGTATATACTCTAAAATTGTACTTCGGATTTTATTCTAGGGATTACAGCAATCTTAAGTACTGTTGATGAGGTGACATGCAGTCTTAATGACCCTTGGAGTAGTAAGCAGCATCATTCGTCTCTCAACCTGTGGGTAGGGAGAACGCTCTCTGTGCTTGCCACTGTTGTTCCCAGGTGGCGGTTGGTGTACCTAGGTACCCAAAATGGCGAACCGACATGGACACCATGTAAACACGGTCCGTGTGGAGCTGGTCCACGGAACGCTTAGCAGTTTTTTTTTAATATTTTATTTAAAACAGTGCGATACAAAATGACAGAAATATATTAAAAAGATACATGACAAAAGGTTGCTGCACAAGAATCTCACTTAACCCTAACACATAATAACGACACCATACAGTACAATGGTAATACATTCTCATACACAACACACCATATATTACAGTGGTATTGTTTTATTTGTTTAAGAACACTAACAAGGTTACATATTACAAAACATCAAACACTGGA